TCTGCATGTATGGGCGTGTATGGGAGTCTATGTGAGTGAGGGCTGACAAAATTGCAGCGGACAATCATGTTCATAACACATCAATGACCGAGAGTCTGTGTGTGCCGTAGAGTTTGTGTGAGTGTGTGTGACACATTGTTCACTAATTCTCTGTCTGTTTGTGTTGTCATATGCGCCGCACGGCTGAACCACCGAAGCAAAATTGTCGAAGCAAAATCTGCATCTTCCCAGGCATTCAGTCTACACTATACGCCGTTGCTTTCGTCAAGGAAGGTATCGTTGCCTCCGTACCTTGAAACTCAAGCCTGCCCTCACTCTCTTGCTCCTATATCCCATGTCCTGCTTTCCCTCTGTTTGTTTTCTTCTCCCTACAGCATGCACACTCCCAACTAAAACGCACTCATGACGTCTGCGGTGGTGACGGGAAGTGACTATCATACTTCCCGTGTTTGTGACATTCCGTGACTTTCTGTGACACATGGACATACACACGGACATACACAGGCAAACAGACATACACAGACACACTTACATACACACATACATACACAGACACACGTACATACACAAACACACGTGCATGTCACACACACACGGGCGGACACACGGACATACACAGACACAGACACAGACACAGACACCCGGACATACACTGACACAGACACATACACAGACATATACATACTCAGACACACAGAYATACACACGCACAGACACAGACACACGGMCATACAGATACACAGACACACGGACAAGAGTTTGTGCTGCGCTACTGAGCGCTTGAACTCAGGGCGCTGATGTGGAGAAGCCACACGGACATACACACGCACAGACAGACACACAGACACATACACAGATACAGACACACACACACACACACACACACACACACACGCACACACACAGATACAGACACACACACACACACACACACACAAACAATGACACAGACACAGATAAAGACACATACACACACACACACACACAGACACACACACACACGCACACACACAATCTTGGCGGAGGACTGTTCCGTCTTAGGTAAGTTGTACTTTGCCCTCCATGGCTTTATGAATGAATGGTTCCTGGCCTTGTGATACGTACAATGCTTCACACGTTTGGGAAGCTGGGGTATCATGGTGRCTTTGTCCTTGGTTGGCTGGTCAGCGTGTTTCTAGGTTCGGGGTTGGGGGGGGGCGGGGTGGTTGGGGGGAACAYGTCATTGGACCGCGGCACACCCCCTACCACTGTCAAACACAAATGGGAAGTGGTTTGGGTGGAGAGTGAGAGCAGCGTCGGAGGAGTTGACTACTATGTGCCGGATTCATTTCGATCTCATTTATTCGTAGAAAAAATGGCACCCAATAGCCAACCCTCGTATGATGTCCGTGTACTGACTGGCAGCGTTGAATGACCACGTACTTCCAGCAGAGGGACACACAAACAACATTAAACAAACCCTCATCGAGCTTGAAATCATCGTTTTGTCGTTCCACTTACAGACACATAGACAAAAGCACAACCATCATGTCGATGTCAGTGGCGCAGGCGAGGGCAGCTTTTGAAGAGGTAATGCAATACGCGGAGGAGGGCATCCACTACGATGACGACGRGGAGCTTCGACTACTGACGGAGATAGTGCCGAGTTACTTCGATGTCAGAGTGAACATTCGTGCAAGCATCGCTGCGAACGGAGAGGAGTTGCTCAGAGCACGGATGCTATTGGCACGGTTCACTGAGGCGCATGATTTGCGTGTAGACAACAGTGCTGATACCTGTACATACAGTTTGAGAAAAGTGGTTGGTTGGATGAGCATAGAAGGGATGTCCGATGAAGGAGACGTAGATATGATAAAGCAACAGAAGGGCGGAACATACACGCTAGCTGATTTCAAGCAGATGCTGATGACACAGGCGAAGAAATGGGGAATGTTTGTTAAAGATTCTAAGGACGAGATGAAGAGCGGTGCAGCAGAAATTTTATTACTCTCGTGTTTGAAGGACATACCGCAAGCTCCCCTGCAAGACTTCCAAGATYTTCCAATAATTATTGCAAACGGGGTGGAGTATGTTTTACTCGACCAACTGGTGGATTTCATGAAAAAGAAACTTGACGATCGGAATGTCATACATGAGGCATTGCATGATGTGACAGAGCAAGCACTGGYGGGCAAGGACCTTATTAACTATAGGGTGTGGAGTGTGGACGAGGATGTCGTATGTGGTACTCCATTGTGGGATGGAATATTCATGACAGCTTTGCATCGCCTCAGCATTGCGACTTCTGAGACAAACAGAAAGAGGTCAAGGGAAGAAGGATGAAAGTTGGTGGCCAGGGAAGCAGATGTTGCTTTTCATGCAGCAGATGGACACACTTCAGCAGGGGAAGAAATTGTGAGAACAGTCTCCATCGTGCGTTTTCCAATAAACCCAATGTCCACGGAGGAGGTAGAAGAAGAAGATGTG